TACTCGATGCAAGTAGGAGGTAAGCATTATACGCCCACTACCGAAGTTGTGGCCTACGGCCAAGATCCTAACAAACTTAAAAAAAAAAACTACAGAGATAATTAGGATCTTACTAAACTGAAAAGATACATATTGATTTCCTGTTCATCCTGCACCATGTAGAGCAACTACGTGAAAGTTCATAGCCCACATATGCTTGGTTTTATTATTTTTCATCAACCACGGTAATCATGTCATGCAGAAACTTTCTAACTTCAATCGATAACACAAAGTATAGGAGTGGATGATGCAATTAGTACATAAAGCTTTTGTGCTGGTATGAGGAATGAAACAACACAAAAAAGATCATGATTTTCCTTTAGGCTTTGTTCGGTTAATCCCATCCCCAGGTGGATTGGGGGGGATTTGCAGGGATTTTGGCCTGTAGGGGATTAATTCCCCCTCAATCCTCTTCAATTCCACCTCAACCGAACAAGCCCTTATGGAGAATATATATTTATCTTGAGCGATGGTGCATAAACATGTGCCTATACACACCATGTTAGGTTGGAGGCTTGTACGCCCTGCAGGTTGCACTGAAAATATAAGGTGTGTACTGAGGTTTCTAGCTACATTTCGACAGTGTAACAACAACATGACGTTACTTTAGCAACAGTAGCCTTCATACTGAGAATTATTCCAGAAGGGAAGCGGATTTAACATGGAGAGTTCTATCAAAAAGAAAAAAAGCACCTTGTTGCATTTTAAGTAGGAAAACATATCAAATGAACTGCCACACAAACAATAAGATGCACATGTCACCGGTGGAAAAAAATGGCCATATGCATGCACGACAATTCAACAACGTAGCATCACGTGCAATTAGAGGTTTTTTCAGCTCCCATCAAAATCAGTCACGCAGCATTGTTATTACGGAGCCATTATCTTAATTAGTGTTAAGGGCTGGGATCTCACTCATCTGGCAAAAAGAAAGAAAACATGTTGGTCATTCATTCCACATACACATAGCATGGATATCCCCACAGCTGCTAATTAGTTTTACCGAAAAATGGGGCAGAAACTACTTTAGACGTTCACTGTATTTCATGTACTATCTGGTTAGTAAAGTATGGGGCATATATAGTCCGCAGATGCAAGTCAGCTGCGCATCGCTGACGCGGGCTGTCAGCAGCAACGCATCTGCATCTCGGTATGATAGTTGGTGGGTTTGCAGGCAAAGTACATGCGCATTTACATGTATGTGCATTAAAGTGAAGCAGGCAGCTCAAGATATATAGCCCGTTCGTACACCGCACAGCAAGCTTAACTCATGGGCGCTGCGCCAGCTCTTGTACGAACCAACGTGTCCAGGTACCAAAAGCAGGCGAGGATCATGCTGGCAAAAATATATCCAATGGTACTATGTACTACTTGTCATAATAATGGATGCATCTACAACTAAAATACATCTAGATACAATCATTTCTTCGACGAGTAATTCCGAACGGAGGGAATACTAATTAAGGGAAAAATTATTTTGTGCTACGAAACAAACTGTGTGCAGTGATATGATGTAGTACTTGCTTCATAGCTGAGGGTGATTTGTCAAGATTTCCCCCCATTTTTTATGGTTGTTGGAGTCATAACAAGACCGGTTACTAGATTGGGACAGAAGAAAATCAAGACACGGCGGTGCTGGCCAGCGCGAGTGACTTTTCCAGCAAAGAAACAATGCGCAGAGGTGGACATGTCTGGAAAAACTGCTACTAAAAACAGCAAGGAATCTGTAATTAATCATTTGAGTATATACCGTATATATAATAGAGAAATGTGTTGTAATTATTTCCGGGTTTTTATTTCCTTGCCTAACCCTAGAACAGTGGCTTAATTATCCAAGATCGGCCGCCGATCTGGCCTGCGGGCATCCAGATAAACGATCCAACTCGAAGGGAAAAAGAACTGTAGAAGTTCTTGAGGGATGGTGGTACTGGCTAGTGGGCACATGTGTATTTCATGTGTACGGACAGTGGGTGCCCTTGTGATGAGTATAGCAAAAGGATTAAATCTAGAGGCGGAAATCAAGCGGGGGGAAGGAAGGGGGCCGGACGTACTCTGGCGCGGAGGCGTACTCGTAGAGGCGGCCGCGGGGGGAGAAGACGATGAGGGCGACCTCGGCGTCGCAGAGGACGCCCAGCTCGAAGGCCTTCTTGAGCAGCCCGCTGCGGCGCTTGGAGAAGGTGACCTGCCGGCTGGTGGCGTCCTCGATCCGCCGCATCTCGCGCCGGCCCCTCTTCCCGCCGCCCTTCTTCTTCTTCGCCGCCGCCGCCGCCACGATCTGCTGCTCGCCTCCCTCGGCCGCCACCGCCGCCGCCGCCGGCGACGACGGCGCCATGGATCGACGGGCGGATGGGTGGATCTAGGAGGAGGAGCAGAGCGGCGGGCGGGCGGGATTAATCTGGTGGAGGGAGGGAGGGAGGAGACGGATGTGTTCTCCGGGGAGGCAAAAGGGGGAGGGGGATTTTGTTACTCAGAAAGGAAAGGTTCCGAGGACGGGGAAGGCCCCACAAATGGCAACGCCTGGTTGGGCCGGATGGCACCTCCACGTACCACTCCTCCACATGGAATGGCATCCCTCCCTCTCCCCCTTCCCGATTGGCCACACCCTCGCTCTTGACTCTTCCTCCTCCTGCTCTTGCTTTTCCCCACCCCACCCCAGCTGCTGCCTCATTGGGTTCCACCAAAGTGGAAACTGCTGCCCCCATGTGAATTGCTTAATACGGTTTTATTTTATTTATTTTCTACAAGCATGCGCATCATCGTCCCATAATGTGTGTCAAAAAGTGTTTTACATCACGGGACAGAGGGGGTACATTCTTAAGAAGATCAGGTTGAGTTTATTTAGGGGAGGTTGGATTAGGTTATTGTGCGATCCTAATCAATGTCTGACATGACCGATGGGCACCGCGAAGGGCGGCCACGCGGGGACCGGTATAAAAGTCGGTTGCAACAGAGAGTCGCACGCAGATGACCGTAGAGGCGCGCATACATACATACATCTCAGTGGTTGCGGGAATATCACGCCGGGTATTGTTATTTTTTAAGATTCGTGTGGTCCTGATAACTTGAGAGTGAAAACCATTCCCAAGATTCGGCACATGCATTTTTTCTCAACCGATTACTTATTCTCTCCTTTTAGTTTTTCTACAAGCAAGGCCAGAATGGTTGGTCCAGTTACTAGTTATACCACGAGCCGCGGCCCAACCAACCCAAAATAGATAAGTTGTTTTCGTAGAGCAAGAGCCCGCTTTATAAAGCCAGCCTGAGCGACCCACATCCAGGGGCGTAGACAGGTCCCAGGCCACCCTGGCCTTGGCCCGGGGCATGAGGGTAAAACCCAGGCTTGTTTATTGCTGTTGTGTGTATTGTAGCACACTCTGTAGCCACAGTGCCCTGAAGCTGGCCTGAGGTACGCCGATATCCTAGCTACGCTACTGCCCACATCTGTACTTGGCCTACCCCGGTTGTTGGACCCAACCAAACTATTCAGAAAGGTATGTTGATAGTGGCTCTTCTTTAGCTCTCTGAGAGTTATTTCTTCTGTCAATCTATTTAAGAACATGATAGTGAATTGTGCTCCCGTGTGACTTCGGTCACAAGCTCAACGAGGATCATGCCATAAACGTCAAGCCAGGTTATCTTTACATTGGTGCACACATAGGCAAAGACAAATCAAGGCCGACAGTAGGCCCTGGTCCGCCTTCAGTTACTGTAACACTATAGCTACATCATAAAGGAATTGGGCCTCACATCCCGGGCTTAGGCCCTAGGGGTCTGCCAACATATGCAGGCCATCATGGTCAAACGAGTGGTACAAAGCTAGGCCGCGATGTAAGGCTCGGCTTTGCAAGCTCATCCGTTATATTTTCCATGGAATGATTAGCCGCATTGCGAGGATAGAACAAAATCTAACTATGTAGTGCCCTGTGTTTCTTTGGGTACGCTAGAGCAAGGAGAAAGCCGAAAAAATTAATAACGTACTACACTATGAACACATACACATATAAATTCAATTGAAAAAACATTTTCTATTAGTGTACGGAGTTACTACCTCTCTGTCCCAGAATATAAGATGTTTTTGCAGCAAAAACGTCTTATATTTTGAAACAGAGGTGTGATATATAATATAACCGTACCCTAGGTACGCATATACATATAATACAAGCTTGGGCCAATCAATATTTCCCGTTGTAGCAAGGTATGCATGCAAAGGCATGTGACTAAAATAATGCCGTACTATATAGAAAACGAAATTGTCCATGCATGGACGCCAAGCGCCAACAGGATGCATAGGTCACCCGGTTGTACACACATTACGTACTAAAATAATACTATTTTTATCTCAACAAACTAATATTGTTTGTGGATGCTCTGGATGTCAAAAATATATTCCGTGGATGCTATTCCGATTGCCGATTTTTATTGGAGCCTAGCGTACTTTAGTTTGGCAAGTTCGTCTATCCCGTTATAGGTTACTAAAATCGTGATAGACCAGAAGACTTTGTACAAAAAAGGGTTAGTAGCAACTAGCAAGAGCATCTACAGCCGAATGCCTCAAACCCGCCTCAAATGTTTGAGCGGACGACCCGTTCATGAAATTTTGACCCAAACAGGTGCCTCAAATGTACGGACTAACCTGTACCCTTCATATCCAGCTAAAAAATGAGGCTGATATGGGGCCCGGGTGTGTCCGCCACATCGGACCTGGCCAACCGCTGGCTCACCGACCCCACATATATTCCTCCTCATCCGCTTGTCGGATCAAACCCTAGCCACTTCACTCCACCCCCACCCCTCACTCTCCTTCGCCACCCAAACTCACCTCCGGTGATATCCGGGATGGCGGGCAGCGGATCAGACTCCGACCAGTCCGGATCCGTCGACTGGGGTGTCATCCCGTGCGGGTTGGAGGAGGCAATGGCTATCCGCATCGCACTCCGCCGTTCTCGGCAGGGCAGCGTCCGACCGACAACAGGATCTGTCCGGCGCGTCTCCATAACGTCGGCTCAACAGGCACTCGGATCCTCTGGGGCTGGATCATCGCGGTCCCGACAACCTTCAAATCTCTCCCTCCCCGTCTCCGGTCGGGTAGAGTATGAGTCCCATCGGGACCGGAGTGGTTGCTGTGGGAAGGAGAGGATAAGGGCCGCCAAGGCCCGAGTCGCTGCAGACATGGCGGTGGCGGAGGTGGCTGATGCGGCGTCGCGGGCAGCCGCAGAGGAGGAAGCCATCCGCGCCCGCATTGGGAAGAAGCGGCAGTGGAGGAACACACGCGCCTCGCCCAAGAGCAGAATCGGGCGGTCCATGCCATGACCGGACTGCCATCGAACGAGGAGGAGGACAGCGACAGCGAGGACAACTCCAATGACGAGCAGATCTGACTCGATTCGTACTGCATCTTTGATTGGTACTTTCGCGACAAGGACGGCAAGGGCACGGGCACGAGCAAGGGCTGCCCTAGACGATCTTCTCCACCATAGCCAAACATGCCAATTTTTGGTAGTCTAATGGCATGTTTAGTGATGTAGTAGTCGGATGATGTGTGTAATGCATCGACGTAGTTGGATGAGTCTGTAAGGATTTGAGGTATGGTAATTGAGGTGTCTGGCTGTGAGAAGGCAAATTTGAGGCTTGGTCGGTCAATGTCTGCGGACGCCCCCGTGCGCGTCCGCGGGCGTTTGAGGGGTTGGATTTTTTCCAAGTTTGGCTTTAGATGCTCTAATAATCCCTCAAAGCGAACCAACCTGTGGTTTGGGTTAGAAGGATAGTGACATCCTCAGCCCATCAGAATTTAAATCCTAGACTTGACATTGGTGCTCGCTTATTTCAAGATTTATTCCCGTCTTCTTGGCGATGTCCATTCAGTGGAGGAGACATTTTCGTCGACTACGAGGCGCCTATGATGATTTCTTCAATCTCTAAGATGCCCATATGGGTAGAGTGTGTGTGCATTACTTTGATTGTGAACGTGTTTAAGAAAAATCCCTTGAAAGAAGTTAGGAAAATATAGGAATACGCTAACAACAAACTTAAACAAGGAGGCCATCACTGTAACTAACCATTGCATGCCCACCACATAAATAGAAATGAAATTTACTTCCAGTGTGTGTTTTTTGAAATGGATTTATTACTTCCTGTGCTGATTTACTCGCCTGGCCCACCCTTTGGATTGGAGGGACGCCTGCCTGCAGCTAAAACTGAAGCAAGACGCCTCAAAAGAATCAGGCTGCACTAGTAATAATAATAATAATAACCAGTTGAGTTCATGTGCGCAGTTGGCTGCAGCCTCCTCAAAAGACAGGCATAAAAAAAGAATACGTTGCGTCGTCCGCCTCTGCCGTCGCTCTCCGACGAGCATCCGTCCATCAGCGGGCAGTCGTCCGGTAGTTTACTCCGCCCCAGATCGGGAAACCTGCGTCCGCCCATTCGCGGCGCCCAAGGGGCCACCGGGCCGGTCCGGTCACCCGCGACGGCGACGGCCGCTTTCTTTTCTCCACGTGTCGACCGGCGATTGCCGGCGGCCCGGGTCCGTACGGCGGGGCGCGTGGGGGCCGTACGGAGGAGCGAACCCTCGGTCGACACGTGCGGGCGCGGGAGGGACTGCGGGAAGGACCACCACGAGCGCGGCAGGACAGGCAGATTCCAAGTGGGCTAGCTAGCGCGCGGCCCGATCCACGTGCGGTGGTGGTCCGGTCCACTAAACTATCCGGAAAATAAAGAGAGAGAGAGAGAGGGCGGGGCCCCTTTCTCCCTTGTGCCAGTCAGCGGGCAGAGTGCAGATCGCTGTGCGAGCGCATGCACCGCGTCGGTAGATGCCTTCCTATAGAGGTAATAGTACGGCAGGTCCTTCAACTTGTTTTGTATGTGATGGTTTGGTCCTCAAACTTGCAAAAGTAGATTATTTGGTCCTGCAACTTGTCCTCAAGGTGCATATTTGGTCCTGGCCCAATCAGCAACAGCCAAGTCGAGCCAGCTGGCCTGAGCCGGTCAGCTTCGCACCTTTTGCATTTAGCCCCTGCCGTTTAACGGAATTAACTCGTGGGACACCACATGGCGCCAATGCCCGGCACCGCGGCGAGCTTGGCCGGCACGGTGTCGGAGAGGCGGTTGTGGTCTACCGCGAGGAACGACAGCCTGGGCATCGCCGCAATGGACTCCGGGATGGTGCCCGCGAGGCGCACGTTGGACAGATCGTGTCCCCGGCCAGGGAGCGCTACCCCGTCGGCGAACGCCTGTCTTCCAACCTCGCCGTATCCTTCTTCTCCCACCAGGCCTCCCCAGCCATGGCAGCTACAGGGCTGAACGCGTACGCGCGGCCATACAGCCACGCCCACC